TGTCTGGGTCTGTGAGGAGCTGGAGCTCTTGCTGTTGAAGCCTGCTGGACACTGCACTCAGTGCTGGGCAGTAGGTCATGTGAGGGAACTCAGAACCCTTTATGCAGGCCCATCTCTGCAACAGTCAGGAGATGAGGGAGAGCTGGAAAGTTGGTGGCTGCCTCCCACAAGGCCACAAGAGCACCTGGTGTCAGACAGCCCAAGAGGGCATGGTCCATGCTGCCTGAGGTCTTCATGAGAAGCACAAACCCAGGGAAGCCACTGAGACAGTGGAGGAGAGACCTGGGGAAGGGCACTCCTGGTCACATAGGTGGAGTATGAGTTATTCCTGTGATTGGATTCAACATCCTGGGTTATTTTCTACAGGGTAAGTGTCAGTACTTTGATAGAATTTCTAGGTAAGAATGATATGGGAGAGGTTCATTAAAAAAGAGCAAAATGCAATCCAGGCCAGGAAACACAAAATCTAGTGTGGACTGGGACAGAGCCTGCCATTAGCCAGGTGGGAGACAGAGCAGGAGAGGCTGCAGTCCTTGTCCCCCGGTTTAGGCAGCAGCTGGAGAAAGTCACAGACACCCTTCGGTGAATGATGACTCAGTCCCTGGGAAGTCTCCTTGCACGCTACTACCCACAACACTTCCTGAGAATGCCCAGTTCACGCACTGTCCTGTCTCCTGATAGCCCCTTATTGCAAGTTACCTGCCTTCTTCTGCTCGGCCCACCCTGAACTGCCCACACCAGCCCACAGAGCCCCTCCTGGCCCCAGGATGCCCACTCCTAGAAAGCCTGTGCCCAGCACCATTCCTGATCTGGAGCTCTGCTCTGCCTGGCTGCCCCAGCCCTGTGGAGCTGACTTTATTCCTAACACAGGCCAGTGCAGGTGGGCCTTGCTCATTAGGCTTCAACAGTCGGGGTCCTACCAAGACCTGCTATTCAGTCCACCACGAGTCTAAGGATGAAGAAACACACTAAAAATTCCTTAGTGAAGTCACAGGATCGATTTCAGGTATGACAGAGGCCTCTGGAAATGTGAAGGTAAACGTGCCAGAGAGTAAACCTTGGAAGAAGGAAAAAACCAGGGACCATTACACTCGTCAGAACTAGAGAGCTGGGACATGCTGAGCAGAAGACCACCACCAGGAAATGTGGTTAGACTTGAGAGACATTAAACAGGCTGGAACATCAGTGTATTCAACATGTCTGAATCTGGGATGAGACCAGGAGGCAGGTTGAGGGTAAATCCAGGTTTTGGGAATTGACTGATACTAACATCAGAGAACAAAATAGAAAACACAGGGAGAAATTCTGGTATGGAAAATTTTAGTTCAACTTAAGACATGTTGAGATACAACACATGGGATGATGCTATCAGGTGGTGGTGGTTGTTAAGGTGCTGGTCTCCCACATCATAAACCACAGTTCAAATCTCAAACCTGGTGTCTTGTTTTCACACTTTCTCTCTCTTTTTCCCTTTCTCTTTTCAAATGAAAAAATAATAATAAATAAATAATTCCTAAAATAAAGTCATGGGATGTATAAAGTGTTGAATAAGCAGGTCATTTTGCTTACATGATTGTTAGAAAATAAAATCTGTTTTAAATATTTCTATTTTGTATTCATACTGAATATGGCACTTGAGGTGGCATAGGTGACCAGGTAGACTGCCACAGGGAAA